GATAGGAGGGAAGTATGGACACAGGGTAAGGATGCAACCTCGCCTCCTGACACTGCTAAAGCTAACACTGAGTAAAACAGCCATAGACGTCAGCCCTGGATCCCAGATAAACATCAGGAAAGATGCTGAAAGAGGCTGGGAATGGCAGCTTTCCAAAACAATGCCCACAATATTATTGCAATCATTTTCACTGTCACAGTGTCATGTCCTACCTTGCAGAAGGGTAAAGGACAGGGACCTACTCAGCAATCTTGCAGCAGAAACTCCTCCCCGCAGCCCCCAGCCACCGTCTCACACAGCACACCTTCGTGGGACACAGTCAGCTGACACGCATGTCACTGATGCAGGAAAACTAACTATGGCTATTCCCAGAAAATGTGGCATTCTTACAAGCTTGAGGCTTTCAAAGGCTCAGTACCATGCATGAAGGGAAACTGCCTGGAAAAGAGCTGGGAGCAGGGCAGGAGGTGGAGCTGAAGTCTGGTAAGGGTTCAGGTCATCATGCTCAGGGGTGAGCTATCCCCCCCGTTTCTGCAAGATAACAGTTGGACAATTTTTTCTCTCATGAGCAAGTCCTTTTAAGAGATGTTACTATGCACTTAAAACAGGAGCTTCCTGCACCCTGACTGCTTCTCCTACCAACTCACACAATATCATAATGCTGGAGAAGAGGAATAGGCTTTTCAGTTCACCTTCTCTATCCACTCCTCCCTCAACCATCTCAATGCATTAATCAGGCAGGACACTAACAGGAAAACACAACTGAGCTCAAGGCCTCAGTAGTGTCCAGAAGAGCTTTTTTACAAACTGCATGGGTTCAATATGCAGATACTTGGCAGGATGGCTTTGGCTGTCTCAGAAATCTCAGCATCTCTCTCTGAAGGGGCTTCGCTCACTCTTGCCCCTGCACTCGTCACAGTTCTGAAATCTGCCTTTCCATCTGGCATCCCATGTATTTCTCATCGCCCAAGCAGCACTCTGCTGACTGCATTCGTGCAACTCATATTCAGTAGCACCAGTTCTGCAAGAGGCTCTGCTCTGCTGTATTTATATCTAGTTAGAGCATGAAATGCCTATAAGAAAGGCCGAGGGAGAAGGGAGAGCCTTCTGTGTCCTTTCATTTCTGGTTTGCTCTGAGGATAGGCAATTACAATGCATATCTCTGTTCACCCACAGACCTAAAGCACTATATACACTGCTGGACAAATAATACCAACAGTCCCTTTTACAAAAGGCTTAAGGTGGGACTTTCAAAGGCGTTATCCTGCTACTGCTAAATTTTCCAGAGACCTGCACACATAATTGGAGGCCTGCCCTGAATTCTCAGAGACTGAGACCCAGCTAAAGCTCAGGGCAAGGCAATGGCAGAGCTACAAACCCACATCTCACGAAGTACCCAGGCTTGCAAGCATTTATGCATGTGTTGGCAAATCTTGTGTCTCAGTCTGGCAGCCTAGTCACTGGGTCTTGCTACCCCTGACTAATTATTGAATGGCTACTAACTGCAATATGTGGTAGGTGGGAGGGAAAAATAAAATACAAATGAAATACAAAAACACTTCATCATACAACCAAACCAGTTCCACACCTCTTGCATCATTTGGCCAGTATGGAAAAGTAACACAGTAATACAGAAATGTATTTGGTCAAAGTAAGGAATCAATATTTTTTGATAAAATACATTCTATATTAATGCTCATTCACATTTATTACATGTAAATTAAATTTTCTATGTATAAAATTCCAGTTTATTCTCAGTGCTGCCTGGTCATGCTTCAGTTCAGCAGCAGGGCTCAACACATTCGGCTCCTAGCAAAGTGGGAGGAAATGAGAGCGCTCAGCTTTCTGCAGGACCAAGCCTTACACATGCCCTGGTCCTGCAGGTCCTGTCTGAACAAAATCTCGCTGGCTTCAGTGGGAGTTTTGCAGGGAAGAGCACTGCAGGGAAGAGCACTGCAGAAGGGCTGGATGTCCAGCATTTGCAGTCTGTGTGCAAGTCACTCAAATGGTATATAACATTCCAAAGAAAAAGTGAGTTAGTGAATACAGAAAATAATAATATATCTACATAATTTACAGCGTTGTTTGCCTGCAACTGTATTAATGCTCAACCGCTGATTAACAATTCAATCAATACGCAGGGAAAGGTAGCAGAGTGCAATACACATTACAACCTCCTCCATGCAATTACAAGCACTGGATCTTAAGTCTTTTCTCATTTCATTAATTCCTGCCTATCCCACTGCCACCAGCGCCCAGTTCCCACTGAGACTTGCGGAATTAATCCCTCATAGCATTTAGGCCAGTCCACACCTCTGCCACAGATCCCTGACACCATGCAAGGTGCTTTTAGCAGCAGGTCCTCAGCTACTACCAATGTCCACCCTGCACCCTCCCCTCTGCTGTGCCAGCACTCGTGTGTGCACCCACATGCTGAGCCAGATGGTGGGACTGATCCAGCTGGAAGCCTGCCTGTCTGTAAAAGGCAGAGGGTTGTGTCCCAGTCAGGCTGAGCTCACAGCCCAGCTCACCGGGCAGGTGTGCTTGGGGTGCCTGCACCTGCACACTGGCTCCAGCCACCTGCCCCTCAAATAAATGGGTGCAAGTGCCCAGCAAAACCTGAACAGCAGGACTTTGCCTGCAGCTTGCACTACATTGTTTGCTTGCATTACACTAGAGCAGAGGAAAGTCAGCCCCATAAGATCTACTTCTGGGAGCCACAACCCAAGCGTTGGATGTTTTCAAGAGAGGTTCTTCCAAAGGAAGGCTCTATTTAAGGTCCTAGCTGGAGAGGAAAGAAAAATTTAGGGGCTTAAAGCAGGGATGGAAACCACTGGTCTTACACTTTATTTCAGTAAGCAAAAAGCCTATTGCTGCTGTACAGTGTTATACAGTGAACTGCCACAGTTCTCACGTCACTAGTCCATAGAAAAGGTGCTGCTACTACCATGTCTATGCCTGCATGCTGAAAGAATGTACAAAGTTGCATTAAGCTCTGGTTTTTTTCCACCTTTTTTTTTTTTTTTTTTTTTTTTTTTTTTTTTTTTTTTTTACATTCTTAAACTCTGACTTTTACAGTGTTGCAAATACTTCTGTGCACTCAGGTAACACGCATTGTCCCAGTTATGGAAGATCTTTGCCTCCAACGGAAAAAATCATGTGCTATGCATCTCTCAAACCACCATCATAAATGTAAACCATCAAGAGAATTTGCTCTCTTCAGTAACCCTGGAAAAAGTCTTTAAAAAATCTATTGAAGACATCATTAACAATAGGGTTTTCCAAATTATACAGCGAGTTGTTTATAGGAATTGTCCAAGCATTTTCTTTGCTCACTCTTTGTTTTTATAAAGCTAATTCTGTATAAAAGGGCTTTTGAGGCATGTGACCTTCGTTTTACAATTTTTTAAAAATTGGAAAAAAATGAGTGAATTTAGAAACATCTTCATTGATTGTGGAAAACAGCTGTATTACAATAGAATTACCTTTACTTCTTATATTTTCAGTACAAAAGACAAGTAAATAAAGAGACCCTGCATCTTCACAGTCTGGCACTCATCCAGTTTACTCAGAACTACATAAACCAGGTAATAAATATGAGGAGTCATCTTCTCCTTCATACTAAAATCCTCACCAAACCGCTTGGGGAGCAAGTCCTCTGATAAGTAAAACCCCAATAGATTTCACATCAGCTGAAGCACTATTTCAGCTCCCCTCCAATAAGGTGTAAATGCCCAGACTAGCTCAAAGGCCCAGGAAGAGGTCCAGCATAATTTTAAGAGCCAGGTGCTGGTTGATACCCTTATGGCTTCAGTGTTAGTTGCATTCAAGTTGCACTCAAGGAAGATCCCAGGAACTACATGTCTGTCAGTCTCATTTCAGTGCCCAGTAAAAACTGGAAATATTGAAAAATATTATTCCGGAAGGTATATAAAAACATCTGGAGTACAATGCAGTCACTGGTCACAGCCAGCATGGCTTCATGAAGGGAACGTCCTACTTGTTGAACCTGATTTCCTTTTATGACAAGGTAATCCACCTAGCTGATCAAGGGAAGCAAGTTGACATAAAATATTTGGAGCTCAGTAAAGTTTTTGATACGGTATCAAAAGCATCCTTCTGACCAAAATGTCCAGGACACAGCTGGATAAACATGTCATGGGATGGGTGAGGAACTGGTTCACAGACTGGGCACAAAGGGTTACGGTGAATGGGGTGACATCAGACTGGCGATCTGTCACCAGTGGGGTTTCACAGGGCTCCATCCTTGGCTCTATGCTCTTCAGCATCTCATTAACAACCAAGACACAGGACTTGAAGAAATACTAAGTAAGTTTGCTGACTACACTAAATCGGGAGGAGCTGTCAAGTCTCTCGAGGGCAGAGAGGCCATGCAGGGAGACCTCAACAAATTAGAGATGGGCAATCACCAACTGTATGAAGTTTAACAGGGGCAAGTGCTGGATTCTGCACCTGGTACAGGGCAATCCTGATTGTGTGTAAAGACCAGGGAATGAGAGGCTGGAGAGCAGTGCTGTGGAAAGGGACCTGGGAGTTCTGGTCGATGTCAAGTTGAATGTAAGTCAGCAGTGCCCTGGCAGCCAGGAGGGCCATCCGGGGCCCTGTGTCCTGGGGGGCATCAGGGACAGCATCACCCACTGGCTAAGGAGGGGATTGTCCCACTCTGCTCTGCACTGGAGCAGCCTCACCTCAACTCCTGGGGGCAGCTTTGGAAACCACAATGTAAAGAAGACATTAAACTATTAGAGAGTGTCCAGAGGAGGGCAACGAGGATGGTGAAGGGTCTGGAAGGGAAGCCTGGTGAGGGGTGGCTGAGGTCACTTGGTTTGTTCAGCCTGGAGGAGACTGAGGGGAGACCTCATTGTGGTCTTCGACATCTTCAGGAGGGGAAAAGAAGGGGGAGGTACAGATCTCTTCACTCTCATGACCAATGACAGGACCCGAAGAAATGGCCTGAAACTGAGTCAGGGGAGGTTTAAGCTGGATATCAGGAAAAGGTTCCTGAGTGGTTGGGCACTGGAACAGGCTCCCCAGGGAACTGGTCACAGCACAAACCCGACAGAATTCAAGAAGCATTTGGACTCAATGCTCTCAGGCACGTGGTGTGACTCTTAGGGTGCCTGTGCAGGGCCAAGAGTTGGACTCAAGGATCCTGATGGGTCTCTTCCAACTCAGCATATTCTATGATTCCAATGCACAATGCCACGAGGTTTGAGCAATAATTTGGCAGTGTACCAAAACCAGCAAAGCTTAAAGTTAGTTGTCATGCAGAAGTGGGATAGGCAACGGCTATTTTTTACTTTATTTGTAAGAAAGCAGCACTTGCCTTTGGATCACATGGTGTCAGAGTACCAGGGCTGGTTATAATGCGTGCTCCTGGTGGCTGTTACTCCCAGTTATTCATTCAGCACTTGGAAACTCAGGTGTCAGTGAAATTACATCAATATGTCTGATGCTCCCCCGATTTCCTACTCCCCATTATTTTTGTTAAGCCTTCATATGCACTCCTGCAGCACCAATCACTACTAAACTACTGTTTTTCAGAAGTTTGCCCACATTTGGTACTTTGTCAAAAACCTATAGCTGTTGAACTAAAAAGAAAAGCGCAGGTGGTGTTTGCTCTCTGCGCAGATTTCCTTGGAAAGGTCACGAGTGAGGACTCAGCACTCTCCCCACATGCCTCCTACATTCTCAGTACTCTACATTCATGTCAGCAAACACTACTCTCGAACACAAATCAAAGAGACAAGTCAGCAACAAAACTACTTCTAGACTGATAACGGCAGAATGCTACCAAGACAACTCCATAGAAAACCCACTGAAGCAGGAGCAAAATTCAGGTCACTTCTTAGCAAAGCTCATCACGGATTATTATTATTTTGTTTTTTTAAAACCATTTTTTTGTAAAACTTTTATCTTGGCAGCCAGACATCCCCCTGTGATGTGCTAATTCAAACAGGCTAATGTGGGACCACCTGACCCCACCTGGTACCAAAGGCTTCCGAATTTTTTTATAGCTTCTCAGAAAATCACTGCTGACTGACACCCATCTGTTGGTGATCGGCTTCTGGTTCCTCTTCTTCCACATCTGCGTTATATTCTTCAAATGCATCATCATCAACATCTGGAAGCCCAAGTAACTACAAAGAAGAGAAAATACTGTGTAACAGTGAATTACCCACTAGTACAGCTTTGCTGCAAATCTTCACACAAATCCTACGTGCATTTCTTAAAAACCTCAAACCCTGGAATAACTGCATAATGATCTTGGCTCTCTTTCTCTCCCTTCTGGGATAAAGAAAGATTTGAAAATGCATCCTCACACCAAATTAAGCGCTCAGAGACCGGAAGATAAATAAAACCAAAACAAAGCACTTGCAAAAAGCTTCACATTCTTCCCTGAGGTCACATTATGAATTGTTGAGTGTTTAGACTTGGCAGTGGTTTAACTTCTGAAAGAACCATGATAATACTGTAGCAGTAGCTGTCTTGGTTTAAGTTTGTTTTGTATCAGCCCTATAAAAGAAAAAGAAGAAAACATCCTCATGAAGGACTGGCTAGTGTGGAGTAGGCAAGGAGTCCCTAAAAACCCAAAGAACCTGTCATGTCAAATGCTTCTCTTGAACCCTTTAGTCCATATCAGCAGGCAAAGTCTTGCATACTGTGTGTAGTCCTTGCAGTAAGAATTACTGTATATTTCACTAAAATATTCTCCCTTTAAACATTAGATTTGGGCTTGCAAGGAACTGCCAGCCCATCTTCCTTGGACAATATTTGGATGCCTTCACCTGATGGCTCTGACCACTCAATGTCACATCCTCACTACAGAAAAGGAGCAAACAGCCATGTTTAAACTTCTCCCCTCTCCCCCAAAAGGTTGCCAAGCCAACAGTAGTCAGGAAGACAGAAACACCAAATAACAGTCAAAATAATGCATCTGTTGTGGAAATCTTGTATTAGAATCCCACACTAACAGCTATTAATAGCCACAAAGCAAAATCACAGGCCGAGCATTACTGAGAATACCACGTATTTAGCTTGCCAGAGCTGGAAGAGCAGCACAGATGCATGTAACACCCTCTTTGGAGAGTGATGCAGCTGTTAGCTCTTGAAAGAGGCAGAGCCCAGAAAATTCGTAAGGAGGGTGACACTCTTTACGTGAAAGCATGGAAATGAGAAGGCTGCAACAAGGCAGATTTACAGGGACCTAAACTAAATCAGTCAGTGATCGACATTCAAAATTATTTCAGTGGGCATAAATACAAGGCATAGAATCAGTTCCTGGGTGCAATGAAGCTTGTATTCCTCACTGTCATGATAAGAAAATCAGATTTTTACTTACAAGGGTTTCTTCAGCAGGGAAATGGAAGAAGAATTTGCTGATTAAACCCCCTCCTTCACATTTTAAAAATACTTAATTATGGAGAGATCCCAAATGGAAAACGTTCTTGTTTTCCGAGCAGAACAAAGTAATTGTCCCTATGCATATATATTTTTCACATCAAATGCTTAACTGAACATGAACTGCTCAGTTCTTTTTCAGGATGCAGAGGTTTTATTTCGTGGTGAAGCTAAAATTAAAAATACTCAGTCTTCAAAAGGTAAATTCAAGGACTCTTTCTAGACTTTCTTATACACCAGTATTATTTTTTCTAAACTAATCTGGTATATTCAAATTAAATGTGAGTGTTGTACTCCTGTTTGTATCACTTGACAGAAAGAGTTTTGACTGTATTTTTTTTTCCCACCTCTGGTCATAATTCTTTGATTTGCAAGGAAATGAGTCACATGAATCTTCATTTTATGGGATACTGTACTGCAAAATTAGCATGGAAAACATAACATACACCACAAGAACTCCAAAGACATACACAATCCCAAAGGATGGGGAGCACATCCTGCTTTTCACATATTCCCTCTCTCTTTGCCAGCAGGAAATCCAGCTCCTCTTTCCCTGCAGCAGCATAAATCAGAGGCAGCAGTGTAAATCAGAGTGATGCTGTAGACTTTAGTGGTTTTACAGAGGAAGAATGGGGGTGGGATGGGATGGGATGGGATGGGATGGGATGGGATGGGATGGGATGGGATGGGATGGGATGGGAGGCTCCTCCAAGGGAGATGCAGTTTTATTCTCTTGCAGACACTTTAGACCCCAAGGCACCAAGGAACTTGACCATGCAGGTCTTGCTTTTAGGCGTCATATCCTGTGGCTTTTCATAGGATTATGGTGGCTCTCTGGACTGCAGTGACAAATCAGTCCACACCTTCAACACAAGGAGGAAGGATCAGGGTCCAAAGCACAGGGAGCTTTACAAACATTGGGACAAAACAGAAGGAGTGTACAAAAGGTAAGGAAGACAGCCTGGGATGATCCTAGATTGACTCCAACCCTGTCTTCTTTCCCACACACTAGTTTCTGCTCCTAGTCCATAGCTGCTTCATATATTAAAGTATCAGCTATGCAGCAGACTTGAAAGGATCTAACTGGAGAGGAAAACAAGGAGAAAAGACATAAACCAGAAAACTGTTGTAGAAAGAGAAAGCTGATCCAACAGCAGAGAAGCCAAGGGGAACAAAACTGCCAGGTAGGGATGCATGGCTGGGAGGAGGTCAGGGGCATGGTGAGAAGGGAAGGACGGAGGGATAACAACCAGCAGCGTTGCCTGAACTATAGCTATTTATTTCTGCTGGTCAAACTACTCATCTGGAGGTAAAGGAGAGGTCACTAGGACATGCATAAATACAGTGCAAAAGGAATAAATGGCTTTTACACTGCAGACTCCCCACTTCAGATGCAGGCTTTCCAGGCCGAAGATGAGCTCAGTGTAAGACCCTGGAATTTGCTGATGAAATTGTATGACTCATGCCTTGGTTTCCTGCAAACTTTGCCAGTTGGTGTGATGTCCCTCAGGCATTTATTTTATTTGTCTTTCTTGACCCTTTCAAAGTGCCCTGATATTACAAATAACCTCGCAGTTACCAACTCATGGAAGCAGAGTGACACCATCTCCTAAAAGCTGGCACACAAGCACACTGAAAAATAAAGCAAGTACAAGACTGAGCTTTAGCAGTCCATGTGCTGCTACACTATAGATAACACAGTTCTGTTGAATCCCTGTGGAGAGGACTATGACTCCAGGCAGATGTGCTTAAAAGCACCAGCATGGGCACCTCCTAGCACCAGAGCATGGCACCTCTGACACCAGAGAGACCAAGGCACAGGAGGAGATGGGATGCTCTGAGGTAAATAACAGTACTTGTTCTCAGTGCCATTGGTTGATATCATGTACCTTCGTGGTGTCTGGCACTTCTGGATGCTCCCTGAAGAAGTGGATAACAAGGGAAATTACAAAGTTTTGTGGAAACCAACTCAGGAAGGCAGTAATGGGTAGAGACAACATGCCTCTCACCACCTTCAGTAAAGACACACCTTGATCTTGTCTATAGCAGAACTTAGAGCTGTGGTTTAGCTGTTGCAGGCAAACCAGCACTTTTTAAAAGCCCCATTTAATTAAATATCCTGCTTGGCACTGTGTTTAGGCCCATAAAACATTAGAGAGAGAGATGCCTGAGAGCAGTGAGGGACAGTGAGCAGACCTAGCTCACCCTCATGGCCTTCTGTGCCCAGGGAAGACTGGTGAGCAGAGGGAATTCTCTGTCTCTCCCTGAGAGGGATACCAACTGCTGGGCATTCATGTTCTCATTGTCTCCAAAACACAGGGCCCAGCAGCATGAGAAGCCAGTCCCTTCCCACTCCACAGGCCCAGGGCAAGCTCGTGGAGACATGACTGGGCTGTTATCATGAACGTGCAGAGCAGGGCTGAGCTGAGTTACTGGAAAAAGTTGTTTTTGGAGCCCTCAGTTATGGGAAGGCAGATGCTCATGCTGTGCACAAGGGCATGGAAAGCTGCAGATGCACTGCCACTGTTTTCTTTTAAGTATTTCCCTTCAAAGGATCCCAATAAGGAATTTCACAACTATCTAATAATCATGGATGTCTACCAGGAATACCAAAATGGAGAAGACTTTCAGAAGGTGCTTAGCAAGTACCTGCTAAAAACCTGGTCCCCAGTGTCCTAGACTGAGAGCTGGGGCTACCAGATGCTTCAGAAAAGCCCAGTCTGACCTTCAGTTGCAGTTTTTCCTCAACTGCCATTTTTCAAACTGGAGTTTGCCAGACTGGTCTCTGTCAGCTGATTTGCTGGGATAGAGAAGAAATGCCCGGCAAATGCACTGTTGCCTTGAAGCTGACAGCAAAGTGGTCTCATTAGTAAAAACGGGTCCAGCAGAGAAAGGACAGGACACAGTATGAAGTGATGCCAAAGAAATAATTTCCCAATACTGAAGAAAAGTGGTTATGTTCCGGCAAAGGCCTGAGGATGCAAAAGAACTGTTACCGTACATCTATTGCAACACCATTCAATTTTTAAAATCTTTTCTCCCATGTATGTACTATTTTTAATAGTTACCATGAGGGAAAAATGTTAATACATTCCTTAATTCAACCTGTCTACACACAGCCATACCTCATATGATAGGCTGATGTAGATTGCTTAATAGTAGCTCAAAGGAGAATCTGAGAAACTTAGTACCTGTGCTACAACCACAAGAAAATGAAGAGGTACTCAATTACAGTCTGCAAGAGGTCTCTGGCAATTGAGGACACCATTTTTGAGCAAACAAAAGCAAAATGAAATTCAACATCTAGGAAACAAAACTAGAAAAATGCAGATTGTAAACAAAGAGTTTTTCACAGCACTGTAACTAGCCACGAGAAGAAAAAGCGCCCAGCAGTGTTGTATCCTTTAAGTCACCTGAAGACTACATCAAGAGTGGGTGTCTTTGGAAAAGGCACATTCTACTTCAACCTCAATTTATATGGTCAGCTGTGGGAATCATGAGGTGAAATGTGATGTATTAATGAAGGGCTCAGGCTACATGAACATAATGGTTCCCCTTGCTTTGAACCTTTTTATTCTGAAGAGTAGCTCAACTTGGTTTGACTGAAGTCAACTTCTCAGTAATTTAAGTTATGCTGGAATAAATGTGGTTTAAATGAAATAAGTAATCTGTACCAATTTAATTAAGTCTTTTTGAAGTCCTCCTTAGTCAAACCAATGGAAGTTTCTCATCAAAGGCATAGCTTCCCTGAGCAGAAGACAGCTATGAAGATCCTAGAGCCCAATATTGTTCCAGGAAACATACTTCTATTTTTTGCATGTTTTCACAATTACAAACAGCTGTAGTGACAGATCAGATTTCCAGTCCTTTCTAAGAAAAGTGTGCATCTGTTCTATTTATTTCTAGCCTCTCAAAGGATTCTTTAAAACGATGCTCTTTTATGTTGACCAGCTGTGGTGATCTGTGCAAGAGTGTAACACAGGGAGGACCAGTGTTTTCATATCAGTGCTCCAGGCCCTCCCTTTCACACTAAATACTTGGGATACATTTCCAGTCTTCTCAATTAGTCAGCCAGAAAAAGACAGGAGGGAAAAAGTCTCCATTTTCAGTTGAGTATAAAAATGTCCATGGGTGAACTTTCTCATGGACATCACGGGAGGATGGCTCTGGCTACAAACCTTCACCCTGCTTTGCACTAAGCCCTTAGCCAGCCCCAAGCATTCAAAAGGAGAGGCTATATAAAGGGAGCATTTGGCAAAAATTAAGGGCAATGGCCAGTTTAAAACACCTCACCCTGATGAAATCCTGGCTTTGCCACAAATCTTACTATTAAACAAGGACAGAGAAAGCTGAGTAGCAGCAAAACAGAAAAATACAGGCCCCCTCCCCACAAAATCCAGCTTCTCTTTCAGCTTCTTCTCAAGCAGTGACCAAACCAGCATTTGGAAATGCCAAGTGGCAACCATCCTAAGAGGAAAATCTGCATCACTTGGGGGGGTTTGAAACCTCAACCATAAAATAAACCACCCTGAGGAGAGACCATACATCCAGTTTCCCATAGGTTTACTCTTGCTGTTCATATCCCTGTAAAACCCTACAATTCCAGAGTCAGGAAACAACTCTGCCACCAAGTCCCACAGCGCTGACTCGTATCCCGTTCCTCGGAGTCAGCGCTGCATCAGCAGGATGGAGTCCCTGCCCTCTGCCACTGGCTGACACACCAGTTGGCCTCCCACCCCATACGGGAATCTCATAGTCTCAAACACAGAGATGGAAATAAAAAGGCAGCTGACTTCCAGGAAACAATTTCCAACTGCCCGATGGCAGCTTATGTGCTAATGTTCCTGTACTCAGGCAGCTAACTGGAGACGTAAATCTCTGGAGAAGAAAAAAACACCTTATTCTATCCAGTGCTGTCCTAGTAAAAGTGACTGTCAATGTTTAGAAGGAAAAGAAAACCACTTACGGGTCTGAAGGATTTGAAGACTTTTTCCAGTATTTCATGGAGTGTCTTTTTCCCACAGGAGGAGATGTAGTCCTGTGCGAGCTGCAGAAAAGGTAAGCAGTCCTCACTTTCGCTCCACACATGCTGAAAGCCAACAGCAACACAAGAAAGGAAAGGCATTAACAGGAATTCACGCCAACCTTTCCATGTGATTTTATAAGGTGACATGTTGTAAACATCTGCCAAAGTACACCGAGCCTCCTGCAGTTCAGTTCCTCAGTTCCCGCCCTGGGGACAGGCATTGCAGGCGCTTTCACAAGCCATGTTTCCGAGGAGGAACCTGGATTTTATTAACGTGATGCATCAGAAAACAGGGAAATCAACCCAGAAGCGGAAATGCTTCATGGTTGCACCAGCCATGAAGTGTACAGGCATTTGGCGCACGTACATTTTACCTATAAAGGTGCTTTTGTTTGACATCAGCCCTGCTCAGACCTGGAAGTCATGCTGGGTTTTCTCTTTTTCTGCATCTGCTGCAGTGAAGCCGTCAGGAAGAGCTAAAGCATTTCCTTGTCTTCCTGGCGTTAGTGCAAATATGATGCGACCCTGGAGGTGGAACTTGATATGTAATTCTCTCGACAATGCAGAAGAAAAGATGCAAAATCTGCCTGCAGACTAGACACAGAGCCAAGGAGAGACATTTGGGCACTCACAACATCCTGACACTTTGAGCCTTCCACCCTCTCTTGAGATTTACTCCTGGAACCCAATCTTCTCTTCCCAGGCAGGCACATTTAAACCCATTTGAGATCCTCCTGTCTCACTCCTGCTCTGGAGATGCTGGTTCCCCAGCCTTACGCTGCGAAGCATCTCTCAAAACTGATGTTTATTCTGATGCTAGGAGGTTGTCTGAAACAGAGCTGGCAAGTGATGGAGGGAGCACCCAGGCAACAATGCTTCCTGTGCCCAAGGGCACAAGCTAATGCATCATCTTAAACACCTTCTGTTTGGAGACTTGGTGCATGAGACTCTTGGGCAGCCTGCCACACAGAGAAGTGCAATACTGCCAAATTGGTATGACACTCTTGTACTTCTCTTTTTGCGCAGTAGCTCTTTTCCCCAAAGTGCCTTTTCACTTGCTATAAACAGCAGGTTATGCTTAAACAAGAAAAGAAGAGGATCTCTCCAAAGCTTAACTAACATTCAGGGAAAGACTCAAAACGACAGATGTTTCAATTCCTAGCATAAGGCTTGCATGTTGCCTTCCTCTTCAGTGGCGAGAACCTCCTAGGTATGCAGTTTTGCACTTAACGAAAGAAAACAGTACTTAACATCACCTAAACTGCACCTTTAAGATAAAACCTGTAACTGTTTTGCTATGAATCGCACTTGACCTACATTTTCTTTGCTGCTTGTTTCACTTTACAAGCATAAACATAATGAAATGTTCTGTTATGAAAAGAGCCTTACATTACTGAGTACGTTCTGCACTTTCCATATAACCAGAGTCATGTCTTAACCATTCTGGCAATAAAAATAATTCTTTACAGTCTTGCCAACTCTCAAACACACATACCACAAGTCTCATGATACTTCATGCCATCTTAAGAGTCATGGGCCTTGTAATCCTATAAATATACAACTACATCTCAGCTTCTGTTTACAACAAAAAAAGCAGAAAAAAAAATCTGCACTTTGTGATTTCTGTGGCCTAAAAAGGCAGAACGTACATGAAGTGAACTCAAATGAGTCCTCTTCAAAATAACAAATGAACACTTCCAAATCACATTTTAAAAACAGCCTTTGGAGAAGGTTTTGGAGGTCTGGTCTTCATACTTTAGGTTAGCAATAACTGTTTAGTTATTCCTAAACTTCAGAGCTGAATGTTGCAGCTGGGCAATTCCTGGCTAGTGATAAACTTGTTGCAATTGTTTATATATATAAAACAATTATGACTGCTGAGATGGTCATTCTTGTTTAAATTGTGGCTTCTTCTGACTACCAGAGCTATACACAGGAGCTTCCACATACATGAAAATCAGGCCCTGCCCTTTAATAAATCATAGCTGGTTCATTCCCCAGGGAAAGTTAACCCCATGTTATCTTATTGCGTTTTACTATCTCTTTTCAAGCTGGACCACATTTTAGACACCAGAATGAATTCACATTCATCAGCAGTAGGCAGAATAAGATGTTCTAGCACAAGGGAAAAAAACTAAGAGAATTATCTGATCACTGAGTTTTTGAATTTTTTTTTTGCATAGCATAATAGGACAATTAGCAAGCAACATTTCCAAAAATCTCTCCATCTGCAGAGGATTTAAAATGTTGACTGTAGCAACAGACACACGACTAAGTTTCATGTGCCATTAGTGCACACATCTCATTCGGAAATGAGCTGATTTAATCTTTTCCCTCAAAAACCTCAACCATAATAAAGACCACGGTTGTAATGCTTGAAGGTTCAGCTGCATCTACAGCTCTCTTTGGTGGTTCAGTGCTGCACCCAGGCAGTACAGGAACTGTCTCAGCACTGACTCACCCATCTCCAGAGGAACCTGCAATAGGAATTTTGGCCTTGCAAAATAAAAACAAACGTAATTTCAGGATTCTCCTGCTTAGAAAGTTCAGTAAGGCTGCATATACAGAGATGCTTTTCCTGGAAAACATGATGCCTGAGAATCTCTCTGCAGTGGGAGAAGGTGGCTGCTGGCAAACTGGTGGATCACAGTGTTTGGCTGTGGCTGTGCAATAAAAAAATAATATTAACCTCGTCATCAGAGTGTGCGTTTTCCAAGCTTGCCCAGTTTTGCTCACAGTTACTTTGTGTCACTACAAAGGCATACAGCCACTAACTTCCACCTCAGTTGACCTAAGACCATTGTTAAATTATTTAGTTCAGCATCTACACACAGCACATAGCTGAGGAAATCAATAGGGCTGCATCTGGAGGGGTTTGCTTTCCCTCACACCTTTAGATGACTCAGTGTAGCTGGATGACAGAATCACTTGCTGGCCCACCTTTTTCTATGCAGCCCACTTGTTGTGCATGACAGTAAAACTTTTTATGTATGAGGTTAATTTGACTTGCATAAAATATTCAGACCCACTGACTCTGTTCTGAAATATTTTCAGAAAATCTTGCAGCAAGATGGTATCATATTTTTATTTATCTTATCAGTTACTTTGAATAGCAGTAATAACATGGTGACAAAACAAATGACAGACTGTAAGGACTAGCATAACAACCCTCACTCTCCTTGATTATGGCAACGCACATCCAATTAATTTCTTGAGAACCTCAGGAGCATCGGGGGCTGAATTATACATTGTTCAGCTATCTAAAATGCTGATTCAGAGTTTCAGTGTCCAGGTGGTTCTGAAAATGCCAATAAGTATCTACTTGGGTGTCCTGCATCCCTAGCATGTTAAAAGCCTAGCCTAAAGATATCTTTTCAGGAAACGAAAATTATCAGATGTTGTAATCTGGGATCTCTGATGTTAGACAAAATTCAGTGTTTTTCTCCCCCAGATTGAATCTTAGCAACCTTTCCACGTTTTTCTCTTCCCCTCTTTCCTTTTAAGTTCATCATGTTCATCATTTCCTCCTTACAAGTGGAATCATGGAGTTCTCTGGCACCTCCTACATAGCTTTTTAAGTCGCATCATTATGAAATGACGACGTAAAGAAAGAACAAGAATACCAGGCATCAGATGCTTATTAAATGTGAGGCTCCTTTATAAGAGGCACAGGGTGCAAGAAGGCTGTGAAGTGTGTCACTGTGAATTCTGTTTATATTTACTCACTTTCAAACTCCACACTGTGTTAAAGGAGCCATGCAACAAAGCTTAAAGTGCAAATGATAATCAGTCCCTTGGTTTGTATTAAGTCTCCTTAAAATAAACTTTAGCCTGTAATTGCACATAGAAAGCAAAGTTATAATATGGAACATTAAAAAAAAAAACAGTGACTGCAAAAAAACAAGATAATCTAGCTGGGAGCAGAAATTAAGTCCGACAGTGCACTAGGAGAAGGAAACAGGATGTTGGAGATCTAATCATTAGTGGGTCTTAATCACATTAAAGAAACACCATCTCTTTAAAGAAAAAGAATTAAGAATGACACCTATCTGCCTGTCTTAAAAGTATTATCATTACAAAAAGTGCCTCAGCTAATAAGACTAGAAAAGATAGAAGGAAACACCACTTCTAGTTTTCCACTGCTTATGTTCCAGATTTGACAGGAGTTGGCCCTTTGCTCCATTTTACTAGTGGTAACTCTGGGCAGGGAGTTCTTCCCACACCAACCCTGGAATGAAAATATTTTCAAAATAAAATGAGAAAAAAAGGCCAGCATAGGAATAGAGTCTGAAGCTGCTTAATATATTTTTTGAAGTTGACTAGACTTTGTATGAAAGAGTTCACTCAATTATTGAGCAATGTATAAAGAAACAATAAATGTCTAAGAAAAATAAATGGACTTTCTTCGCAATTTCCAGTATCCTTAGTATCCAACCACAGTTTCAGCCTAGTGCTGCACTAGATTTATACATATTCCTGTTTAGGAGCTCAAGCAGGCACGGCCCTTTCTGGGCACAGGCATACACAGGAGAGGAATGAGCACTGGGGTCTGGCAGGCTCAGAGGTGCTGGGAAGAAAGATGTGCAGTTATACCCACAGAGGACTGAGAGAATCCACACCCTGAAATACCCCACTGCTAATTCTGAAGGTCTCAGGAATCCCTGGACAGATGCATAAATAAACTCCAGATAACTTCTTTCATATACTCGACAAAATAAATAAATAAATGTCCTGCTCGCTGGGATGTGTGGTCCTGGAGAAGTCATTCCACTTCTCTTTGTTTCCATGGACCCATCTGTCAAATGGGCTCATTCTGCACTTACCTGTTGGAAAGGAAATTAGTGAACATTTGTCAAGCAAGTGGAGGGATGAAACTTGCTCCGTGAAAGGAAGAACCTACAACGTTCCTACAATGACAGTGCTAGGAGCTGTTTTGTTAAAATAAGCAAACGAAAATCCTTTCACTTAAGTTAACTGGCACTTGGCAGCTTACAAACCCCGTGGCGAGGTGCCGCTTTCCCGTGACTCTTCCTGCACTTCTGCCCACCACCGGGAGGGTTTGGCCGAGGGGAAAAGCACCTCCCGACCCTTCCCAAAGGCAGGGGTTGTGGTGCTGGAGCCTTTTCCGCACAAACTCGGCGCTAGACTCCGCGAGGGGCGGCGGTGCCCGGCCGGCACCTGCACGGATCCCGCGGCGGGCCCGGGGGAACGGCGGGGGTGGCGCGGCCCTCCTGTCATCCTGACTCCATTTTATTCCTGCCCATTCTCCATTTACCGTGACAGCCCTGCCAGTCCGCCCGTCCCCGCGCCGTGCCCCAGCCCCGGCACTCCGGGAGGATGGAGGGGCCGCGGGGCGAGCGGCAGCTGCAGCCCCCGCGGGGCGCGGGGCAGGCGGGGGGGCCCGCACCGCTCCTCCCCGCCCGCCCGGAGCCCGCAGCCGCCCCGGGCCGGCTGATGGGGAAAGGGGGGGGGTGGGGTGTCCCTGCCCGCGGGGCCGCCCCCCACAGGCAGCGGACTCCATTTTGCAGATTGTGGGAGGATCCCCCCGGCCCCCGGCCCCGCCGCCCTCCATCACCGCATCCCTCCCTCCCCGGGCACGGCGCCGTCCTCCGCCCCCCCGGCGCTCCCCCTCGGGTGCTCTCCGCGGACTCCGGGGATCCGCACGGACGGAGCGTCCCGGAGCGGCGCGAGGGCTCCCCGCGCACCCACGCACACGCTCGGGGGGTGCCCCGCACGCCCGTGACCCCCGATCCCCTCATGGGGCACTCACGAAATTGTCGCCGCAGGCGGCCTCCGGGCACAGCACGTAGAAGGAGACGCCGGGCTCGGCGTAGAAGTCCATGCGCCGCTCCGTCTCCTCGGCGGCGATGAGCTGGAAGGGCGTGCGGGCGCACCACCGCTCCGCCGCCTCCGCCAGCGCCTCGAAAGCCATCGCCGACCCCGCCGCCGCCGCCGCCGCCGCCGCCTCCCGCCCGCGTCCCCCGCGCCTCGCGCCGCCCCGCGCCCGCCCCGCGCACCGCCCCTCCCGCCCCCCGCGCCGCGCCTCGCGACCCGCGCGCGGCTCCCGGCACCGGCCCCGCTGGAATTCGCCGCAGACAATTGACTCGACGCCTCCTGGCAACTTGGGGGAGAGGGAGGGAAGGGAAAAAAAATAAAAAAAGGAAAGTCCCACGCATGAAGGCGCTGTCGGCGAGACCGTGCCTCGCCTCTCCGCTTCCCATCACTCTTGCCAGAACTGGGCCGGAATCTCGGCAGCATCCCCTGCGCTGAGCACATGGGTACTCCCTGCACTGGGTTCCGTGGGAGCCACCCACGGGTGGGCTGTTGGGCTGTCCAAATACGGACAGAATCCCCCCGTGGAAACGGAAAGCTTTACGGAGGTTCTTCCTCGCCCCCTGTCCTGTTACCGTGGATCTGTGGGTTTGCAATGAGGTAGGTCCACGTTACCCTTCCAAGCTTATCGCAAGGAATTGCCTATCTGTATGTCCAACCAAGGCGTAGGAGATACGTGAGCTGATCTGCGTTAATAAAGGGCCTTAGATTTGCATTGGCGTGCACTCTACTGCAAAGGAAAGAAATCCTCAAAGGCCTGCGTGGGTTTTCAGCAGGAAGCCCAGGAATTCATAGAGGTGAACAGGAAGCACAGAGGCCATACGTGGCAGTGGGCAGAAAAGTTTACAAGGACAAAGAGAACACTGGCCCTGAAACAGGCCAGTGGCTGTTCCTGGTCTCCTGAGTGGTGTTCAACTGCATTCCCACGGCAGGTACCACAGCCCTGCTGGCGGGGTCAGTGTCACACACCGAACACTCCCGTTGTACCTATCAGTCCGTGCATAAATCATTCGGGCACTCCAAAGTCATGGTGAGGTCACCAGAGGTCTTTTCCAACCTGAATGACCATGAAGCTGGCTCGGTTACAGCGTGGTGGCGATAACGATTTTGTGATTCCAAGCTGCAGAGAGGATGTGCCTGAGTATGGCAGCGCCAGCACAGCTGCGGCAGGGACACGTTCCCTCTGCCTCCGGCTGACCTGGGGCACACTGCGAGCACCCACGCTGCTGAGCTCAGCCCCACGGACCCTGTCTCCTGCCGAGCGCTGAGGTATCAGGAAACGCAACAACATGAGTGCTTGTGCAACTGTAACTCAGCTCCTTTACGCATGGTGGGATGAGAGTGCTTGCTGTTTTTTCCACCGAAGGATTTTTCATTTATTCTGCACAGGTATTTTGGATAAAGCCCTCATTCCTGGGGTGCTCTTAGAGTGGCAAGTGCTGAACACTCCTCGTTACACTTACCATGTTTTTTACCAAAACATGGTAAAAATTACCAATGTTCCAAAACTCCTGGTCTAGGCACCTCAAATCTCAGAATATGGGTGTGCTCTTGTAGGTACTTATCCTGGTCCCGGCACATGTCTCTTCACCAGGGCAAAATGAGGCAACATCAGTCTGGGGAGGTGAGTGCACATAAATACCTGCAAAACACTCACTGTGTGGGGTACCTGTGGAAGACCTGCAGATCTGCTCTGCCGGCAGCCTGGGGCTGGAGCAGTGAGTCCTGAATAGCTGGAAAGGAAGTCCTAAACCTCTTGTCACTTCCTGAAGGAGCCAGGGGTCCTGCAGAAGACCAATGTTACCGCAGGGTTCCAGGTGTTGGCAGAGCTGTGAGTCCCGTGCAGGACTTCTCAACTTTGATATTCTCTCATCGTTGGTATTTGGGGTTTTCCTTTCCAAATACATTTAAGTAATTAGCATTAAAATAGGACATGGAAAAATCTTTTCTCCTAATATGTGACATTCACAGCTTGCCTGCAACCATTGGGCAAGGATCCACCACTTGGGCAGATACCTCCCCTGCCACAGGGCTCAGCCACCAAGGTCAATCCCAATCCCACTGTCTCTTTGTGCTTCCCAGAGATCTGGCTTTGTGTTCTATTCTCCCCAAAGACCATGCTGGCATTGGGTAAGGATGTGGTGGTGGGAGTGAAACCTTGGCCTTTCCTGTCGCTGCTGGGGCTGTTGGGTTTGGGGCCTCCAGCCGTGTCCTCCTGCCTAGCAGCGCCCTGGCCCACAGCAGCAAGGGGAGGTCAAGGCTGTGTTGCAAACAGGCACAATTTCCAATAAATGGGGTCTCAGTGTTAACACCTATGATTTATGTGCATTTTCAAAGCCCCACATGAACATCTTTTTAGTCCCTAAAACATCACTTTGAAGTATGTGGTATTCATTATCTCCCTTCTGTGGAGTAGGGAAGCTGACAGGTTTCAAATGAGATTTTAAATATCTTATTGCAGCATGCACTGCAAAATCCTTTGTCACGTTTGAGGGTGCAGCCATTCAAATCAGACAGATGTGATTATTTGTTTATTTACATGTGATGACTCTCTTTGCTCTAACACCTGTACCCCAAAAGCAAATTATTAAAACAGTCTGGTAAAGGGTAGTGATTTTGACAATGCAGAAATGCTGCTTGCAGAGCAAGCTAGACTCAGTGGCACTGACTATTGTGCTGATGCCAGGGGCTGAGGGATGGACATGTGGATGTGAGGCAGGTGCAATGCTCATGACACCGTTATGCCTGTCTGCAAGTCAAAATCAGAAGCACCTGCTGCTTCTTTGACAAGACGAGGAGATGGCCAACAGTGCTGTACAATGCCTGAGCTTTTCTTGAAATAGTGTATACTGAAATCACACACGTGGTTTTTCTTCCTACTTGCTGCAAATACCCACGAGCATCCATGCCCCAAAGCATGGCCACATAAGAGGAGCAAGTACCTTCTTGGGAGAGAAGAAGGGGGTCAAGGAGCTGTCTGCTGTGGCAAAAATGGTTTACAAAAGAGAAACCAGAGGGAAAGTAGTTTCCCCTGTTCTAAGGGAAAACATTTCCATCTCCTTCTGGAACATAGCAGCTCTGATGCTTTCTTGATCTAGTTGCCCTGATCCAGGCTATAGAGAAGGCAGGGAAATGTTGCTAGATCGTTTCAGAGGGATGCCTCTGAATTCAGTAACTATGACCAGCTGGAAAAGGCATTTCACTTTGAAGAGCATGTGGAGAGCATTAGGGAGGGAAAGCACGTGCACTGCCAGAGCCATGCTAGTTGGAACAAAAACATAAATATCAGCATTTTACAGATGTCTTCTGTTTTTTGCAGGTTCTACACCTCCACAGAAATTAAAGAGTCAGGTGAGAGGGGAGTGTCAACATGAGGGCTGAGTGGATAAACCAATTTTCTGCCATTTGCATGGATTGGAGGAGGTGTGGAGGGGAAGGTTTTCAAAGTACCTGGCTCCCAGGAGTTATCTTTACAAAAGCCCTTGCCTCTGCTATGCCACGTGATGAGTGTGGTCTAGAAGGCTATGGAAGGGCAGAGTACCTTGCTAGGTGTTTACTATTTCTGTGTTCCCCCTGGACGCAATTCCACTGGGAAAAGACATGTAGGGAAGGTGAAGTGAGAAGCTGTGGAAGGTGGAGGAGCAGAAGGGTTTCTGAAATGTGTCAGACAAACGCGACTTTCTGGCAGCTGTAGTGTCTCTCTGAAACACTGAGCCAGTGTTCTCCTCTACAGCGGGTTAGAAATCTGACAAATTCCACTCATGGACTGGCCACCTTCAAGATTTTTTTTTTTTCTGGTGAAGTGCTCTCATTGGTCTGCTTTTGGTGAACTGCCAAGCAATTCACATTAATTCTCCTGACCAGC